CAGCAAATTACTACAAGAGCATTCCCTAGCTAGGGAGACTGGAATGCTGAAATGAACTCAAGGAGCCCTGGCCACTACAGGGAGGCACCCATCTGATTCTCTGAGCAGATGCAGACTATATTCTGCAAACCACACTGACCGTACATTTTAAAATGATGTAAAACCTTGTTGAGAAATAAGGTTTCATATCAAAGCAGAAGTGACCCCACAAATGGTCTCTATCAGAAGTGCTCTGTGGAACAAGGTTGTCTAAATTCTATTTCCATAGAACAGCAAGTCCTTGTCCATGTTCCACTGAAATCACAATCTTCATATCCTTATCAAGCTTCACACACACGGGGGTGGGGGGGGAGGAGGGAGGAAGATAGATTTTAAACTGCTCACTAAAAGATTGCCCCTTGGCCTGGGTGCTGTCCTTGGTGGTACATCCTATTTTCTCAAGACTAATATTATCTATTATTAATACAGAAAGCCCATTCCAACACAAGGATGTTTTCATAGAGCATCAGCAAAGACAAGAAAGCTCTGAGTGATGGATTTGGGTTCTGAGTTGGAATGGTATACTAGAATCAAGGAAAAGAGGTACACAGGGATGAGGACATGGATTAGTCACTATAGTACTTGCCTTTCAAATGTGAGCATTCAGTCACTAGAAGCCAGGTGAAAAAATCTGGCTTTATTGGTATGCTCTTACAATTCCAGTGATCATGAGATGGAAAGTAAAGACAGACAGGTCCCCGGGCTCTCACAAATAGCCTCATCTTCTTGTTCCAGACAAAAGTAAGATTCTGTTCTAAACAGAAGAAAGTACACTCAGAGCTATCCAGAACTACACATGCATGATGTACAGATACACACTCATGAATGGGGATGGGCAGATAGATGGATAGACAGGTGGACAGAAGGACAGGGGCAGACGCAGACACAGACAGACAGACAGACAGACAGACAGACAGACACACACACACACACACACACACACACACACACACACGGGGGCGGGAGGAGAAAATGATTTTAAACTGCTCCCCAAAAGATTGCCCCTTGGCCTCAGTGCTGTCCTTGGTGCTGAATCTTATTTTCGCAACTCTCACAAGTATCTATTAAGACTGAAAGCTTACAGGTCACTACAATGGGACAGTGTGAGTGCTACACTGTGTGTACATGGAACAAATGTGTTTGCCACTGGAGTCCAAGGGGTTCATCTTTGTGAGACCAGAACTATTCACAATGTATCCTTCCCTTTCAAATGTGGCACTCACTTGCCATTTGATTCATGTTGTTCTGACTTTAGAGTAAACAAATCCCAACTGTCATAGGAGTTGTCCAGAGACATATTAACAGAACAAGCCAATGGGACCAGGTATGGAATTGAAGATGAACATTTGAGAATAAAGACGGGATGCCTGAAAGCAAACAATGAGAAATTTTACAAAGTCAGCACCTTCTCAGGACAACACCCTCCTCTCCCCCCCCCCCAGCCAAAAAAGAAGGAAAAAAAAAAAAAGAAAAAGAAAAAAAAAATCTGATCAGAATGTCTGTCCTGGTTTGTTTTTAGGTCAGTAACTAAAGGTTTTACTTCTGTGAACGTATGATTCACCAGAAATCTATGCCTTGCTATTCCCAAAGATTCTCTTGTTCTTCTCATTTACAATAGTGAGACAGAGAAATGGTCTTCCAAATGCTGGTTTTATGAAAAAATGGTCTGAAGGGAGAGGGAGAAAGCAGGGGCACTTGTTTGTCACTTGGTGTTCCTGCACCCAAGTAGAGTGCACCTGGTCTATGGCTACACCACCCTAAACGTGCCATTCTCCTCTCATCACAGAAGCCGAGTAGGGTTGGGCCTGGTTAGTCCTTGAGTGGAAGAGCATATCTGTTACAGCTCTGTTTGCAGCACAAACCTAGTTCAAATACTGCATTCTGGTTATTAATGTAGACTTAATATGATCAGTGAAGCTAAATCCTACAGCTCACAAGATCCAAGATTGTTTAGCACAAAGCACAACAGATTCCTTATTGAAAAGTCCTGTATAGAGAACACTCTTACATTGGATAAATTTCATGTGAGTCATTGATTGACAGTAGTTGCTAGCAGGAGCCCTGAGGTGAGTTACCCACATAGCACAGGTCAACATTTTACATTTTCATCCCAAGTTCATTCCTCTCTGACTTGTTTGATTGCTTTAAATGACAACCAGAGAATGAGAATAATAAAGAAACTGTTGTAAAGATGCAGAAGGGGTCTTGGTAGATAAAGAAATCCTGAACATATGTCTCAGACAAGGAAAGCTGATTGGAAATACCACTGAGAAAACAGCAATGTGACCACCTTAGGAGACCATACAACCCTCCCTGTTGGGTGACCACATACCTGTACCTTTGCTGAGCACTTCCTAAGAGCAAGCACTTAGCATCATCACAGTTAGCTTCTGGATAGCCACAGGCATGCCTGACTTAGTAGGCACTTACTAACTGACTGGGATGGAAATGTGTGCATTTTACAAGTGATTAGCACAGTCTTCTCAGGAGAGCATAGAAAGGACAGCTTCTTGCTGAAAGTATTCCACCATCCTGAAGGAGGGTCCTCTTGTGATTCTCTGGTGCCTGAAGCCTTTGTCCTGTCATTTTCAGATTCACTGACTATCCCAAGCTGCCAATTACATGTAGAGAGAAACACAGGTCCCTGGATAGAGGCTAGGCAGCACAGAACATCAGAAGCCTGGGGTCTGAGAATAATGAGATTCTGGGCCCAGAGTGTGGCTGGATTCTGTGCTATAAAATAAGGAGAGAATAATTAATTGGAAAACTCCAGGCACTAATACAAGTGAGACCCTTTGAGACGTGGAGGTGACTGAGCAAAAAGGGGTGTGATGCTGACCAGACCTGATAGAAGTTATAGTGAGGTCTAGGATAGGAAGGACTGGGAGCGTGAAGTGCACCAGTGAGTGCCTCAGACAGTGGTTAGGAAAACACAGGAGCCTCTTTAAGCACTAGAGAGTTTGGATGTGGCAAGCACAAAAGGCTGTTAGGTGCATTGCCTCTGTATGGCTCATACACATTGGGAGAGCAGAACTTTGTGGATAACCCAGGCCACCAGAGTGACAGCACATCAGCATGGACAGACAATGCTTGGATGCCACAGCAATGATGTGGATCGAAGTACAGCACTTATTTCTCAGTGTATAGTGGTTATGGACAAGAACAAGATGAGGGCCAAGCTCTCTCGAGCATGCTTAAAAGGTTAGAGAAGGGCCCTGGCTAGGATGGAACAAAGAGGCAGTGTGTATACTTGGGGCTTGCTTGCCTATGAGGGGAAAGAGCCAAGAGCAAGAACTACCATACATGGGGAAGAAAAGAAGGACATGAGGCCAAGGCAGAAATGCTAGATATGGTTTCCAAAGGTGCCCAGTATAGCAGAGGGACAGTGCAAACACAGTGATACTATGACTCTAACTCATTTTCAGTGAGTCATAGAACATGTCTGGCAACATTTTGGGGCAGAATATGGTTGCCTGATTAACAAATAAGCTACACCAAACTCAAATTAACTGCACCGAACTCAAAGTCATGCCTACATTTGCTGAGTCCACAGAGACAGTATCAGTATTGAGCAGCCAGTGCTTTTGTCAGATGTATAAATGAGGAAGCAACTGTTATTTTCAGTTTGAAACTCATGATGCATACGCACACAGTGTACACAGCAAAAGATGACACAAGCACACACCATTGGTGTTGACAACCACTGTACACATGGCGCCCTTGCTGGCTGATGCTGTCCATGCAAATCGTCCCCAAAGTCATAGAAATCAATCCAGATGGGAACATTTCTCCCAACCTCAACTTAATACATTCAGTTGTTCCTCTTTGGCCTTGGGTGCAAATAATATTTACAATACAGTATGCATGCATGTGAGAAGGAGCAGAAAGTCCAACCAACAGAGACTAGTTGAGAGGGAGCATAAAGCACCACACACAATTTTCTTGAAGGTGAATGGTCCAAGATATATTCTAGGAAAACCTGACCTGGTTAAGAAAATCTCCCCACCATAGCAAAGCAAGTTTCAGAATTACACTACAAAACAACAACTGGAAAGTTAGTTATTTTATTATAAGGAAGTTACAACCCCTGACATGCCTGTGTGCAACACACATAACAAACACACACACACACATACACACACACACACACACACCCCTTAAACACCTGCTTAGTCTTCAGAGTGAAATGAAGTTTTCCATGTTATATCCTCATAGAGTCATTACTTCGCAGCCGGCAAAGCCAGAGAATGTGTCAGAAGTCTTGACAGTAGGACAGATTTAGTCACAGATGACAGCAGCTGTTTTCTCTACAGACCCACTGAGGAAATATTCTGGGATTTATAGACCAAAAAGGCAAACCCAAAGAAATTATATGCATATTCACCTATGTTTTAAATCACAATCTTTATGGTTAAAATGAAACCCCTCGGAGACATACATAATTGAATCATGTTATAGATAGTATTCTTTGGAAGGCAAGACAGATCAGTTATGGAGACAGGAGTAGGATTTGAGCCAGAGGCCATGCATGTCAAACCCTGTTTTAGCAGGGTAGGAGCTGGTAGATCATAAAACTAGGCAGCTGTCAGCCTCTAAATCCATGGTTTTACCCTGGCAGATTTTTTTTTTTAAAAAAAAACTATAATAAACATAAAGTTACTTTGAGACATCCCACTCCTCATGGTTATAACAATCAAGATTACACACGTCATCCAAGAGCGTATGTTCACATTCTAAATTTAATTTCAGTGACATCTTGGCTGTAGATGGGTACTGACTGGTACCATGAAGGCAGAGACAGGAGCACAGTGGTAAACATATAGGCATCAGTTGCTATGATCACAAGCACCTCATGTCACGTCGGGAAGGCATCTGTATTGAGGCTTCTGCTCTGTGAGGTCAGTGGCCGGCCCCCTACCCCCAGCCGCTGATTGTAATGCTTTCCTGTTCTTATCTTGTAGGCTTTCATATCGGACGGGGCAAGACACAGCTAATTGTGACACGTGCAGGAACAGTGCATGTATTATCTATAGGTATGTTAACATTCTCTTCCCACTTTGTTATTCTGAGTGACAAATGATGTTTACCCAGTAATGCAAGAATCATTGGGGCCATGCTGGGAAGATTCCAACAGACAAAAAAAAAAAAAAAAAAAAAAAAAGCCTTCCTTGACCATAATTCTAAGCTATGTGTAAACAGCCATCCCTCTACCCACTCCCACCCCCCCCCCCAGGTATACAACCTCAGGATGAAGGAGTGTGTGAACATGTTTATCTTGCAAATGCACCATTGTGGTCTCAGGAGCAAGTATCATTTTGATGGCTTGCTCCCTGGGAATCTATAGCCTTGAGCACCGAAGTGTGCTTCAGCAAAACAGTAAAATATATGCCCACCAGATGGTATAGATCAAAGGCCCACATCCACAATGTATAGGCTAGGACTGCATGGTAGGTCTATTCTGCTCACATCACATGTACAGATATTTTTCAGGGAACTCAAAAGTCCACATCTTCTCCATTTCTGTGGCAGGATCCCCTCTCAGGAAACTGCAACTGTTTGTCATGTGTTTTGTTTTTTTAATTTAAGCTTGGTAATGACAGACACCCATGAGACTAGATCAGAAACCTTCAATAGGCAAAAGTTAGATTTGACAGTAATTTAACATTTTAAGACATGGTCAAAACTTTCAGAAATTGATGTCTTTTGTATTTCCTCATGGAGGGGGTGGTGGTGAAATTTTTACTAACTGTGGCCACAGGTGTTATGCTTTAGTTCCTTTGCAAACTTGAGGGATTGCATATCTTGAGGGGCTGCAGTGGTGAGTCCAGACATCTCTGAGGAAACACTGATCTCATGAGTAGATATAACCCTTACGGTGGCAGTTCAGTTTCCCGAGGACAATTTACAGGGTTTGCCATAGTGGTTGTGGTGGCCCACATTCCCACCAAACAGTGACCTCTTTTTCCCACATCCTGGTCAACATTTAACAACAGTGCTGTCTTTATAAATTGAGGCAGTGTCTCATTGTGGTTTTGATTTGTATTTCCTGATGGTTAGTCGGCATCTTTTCCTATACTTAATGCTTATCTATAAATTTTCTTCTGAAAAAAAGTAATTTTAGTAAGCTATGAAATTATTTTTGTAAGTTAGTAACTAAGTAGTTTCATATGTTAAAAATTACAAAGAGGATCCTCCTTGCTCATTTATAATAAAAATAAAAAATGAACAAATGTCACTACCATTACATGAAAGAGCTCATACCTAGACAGTGTAGGAAGGCTTCAGGCTACCTTGTCTCAGATTCATGAGCTCCAGTGCTGAGGTGCAACACAGGTATGGCCGTGATAACCCAAGCTGAGCATCCCAGATACAGCCTCAGTTCTTTAAAGCAGAGCTGGGTCACATTGAAATATTGTCAGGGAGCTGCAGGAAGAAACCACAACTAGATGCAGGCACTGAGGTTCTGACTCCAACATGACGATGGACAGAATCAGAAGGGAGTCATTGGTCATGGGTGAGCATGCATGACTGGCATCTGGTGTGTAGGAAGAAGCCAGGGATGCTGGTGATGTCCTGTAATGCATAGGAAAGTCCATGACAATAAAGTCACTAGATGTAAAGCATCAGTAGAGCTGGGTTGAAAAGTTTACCATGTTGAATCCATCCTGCACCATGGTTTTGTAAAAGGCTAAGGCGTGGGCAGTATACAAGGAGCCAGGGAGCTACCAACAACCCTAGCCAGGGCATGAAGTTCTTGATTGTTCTTGGCTGTCATCAATATGGAGGTAAAAATCAAGCACCATACAAAGATTTTTCTGCTAGAACTCCATGTTCCAAGTCAGAGGGAGTGCCTTTCAGATGAGCATGCCTAGTGGGAATTTTGTACTTACCTTTCAGATAAGCATGCCTAAGGGGATCTTGGTACTATGTCTACACTGAGGATAATGATTTTAAATCAACAGTGAGGGGCTTTGACCAGGATATTCCATTGTTAATGGATGCAAGTATGCCTTAGACAATTTCTTCCTGGGGTTCAGCTCACTCCCAGGGCCAGAGTTCATCTAGTCTTCTACTGTGACAAGACTAAGTGGCAAAGATTTCCATAGAAACTTCATGGGATGAGCATGTTTAGCCTAAAACTACTTAACATTTTGTGGGTGACTGAAAAGAGAATTTATTATGATACTGTCCAATGTAACTGAAATCATTTAAATACATTTAGCTCAAAATCCAGGGGTGACTTACATAAAAAGTGATATTAAAAATGATTTAATGAGTCAGAGAAGGATAAGAATTTGTCTTACAGGGGAATTAGTGTGGAGTGGATACCATGTTGAATTGGCTCAACCACTATTCTGCTGGAATCCAAATACTTAGCCAAAGGTCATCCAAAAGACCAGTGAGTATCTAGTCACCAGAAGAATGTGCTGGAACCTCCAGAAGACTCAGGAAGTGCAAAGGTAGAGGCACACAGATCCCTCTGGTTCTCCCACATAAACCAGTGGGTGTGTACTAATCCCCACAGGCCTGCTCATGGACAACATGCTGGGATGCGTCTTCATAACCATAACCATGGATAGAGAAGAGGCTTTCCTGCCTCACAGAGGCCCCATCAGACCCAAAAGGGATACGAAGCAGCAGCAGAGGATGGGGTAGAAGGAAAGGTTTATCTCTTTCCTCCAGGAAAGTGGTTGAAAATTATTTCATGGAGAGCAATAAAACAACCAGAAGACAACTTCAACTCCAAAGGCATCTTGCAAACAGAAGCTACTTAGGCTTAGTTAGCAAGTTCTGGAACACCTGCATGTTTATTGTTCAGCTAGAGTTTCATCAATTCCTTAAGTCCCTATTTCATTGAATCTTGTAACTAGTGTTCAATAAGATATCACTGTTCCTGTAAGCAGAGCACACAAATTCTTCTAACTCTCCACTCAGTGTTCCTGTCATTCTTTGTTCTGTTTGGTTTTGAGACAAAGTGTCACTATGCAGCCCTGGCTATCCTAGAACTCATGGTATATACAAGGCTGACTTCAAATTGATAGGGATCCACTTGCCTCTGCCTCTTAAGTGCTGGGATTAAAGGTATATGCCACTAAACCCAGCGCCTGTCAGTCTTTACTAGAGATAGAACACAACAGTTTCTCTCACAGTGTCTGAAACAGTACAAAAGTTTCTTGAGGTTCATAAGAATGTTTTCCTTTGTTAAAGACAAGCAAAATGTAGTCTTGTCCATTCACTAAAAACCCATTGTCTTAGGGAAAACCACAGCAATTCTTATCTATCTGGCCTAAGTTTGTCATTTCAATTTATATTATAAACATTGAAATTTTACACCTATGTGATTTAAAGTTGTTGGCACTCTTTTGCAATGAGGCATAGAATGTCCTCTAAATTTGATACCTCCAGCATGAGTTTGAAGTTATCTTTCAGGTGTCATGGCTGCTTTTCTGTCTTAAAAATAATGCCATGCCATCTGACAGAGCCAGACTTCAGAGTGACTTGAGTGTACACTGGAGCTGCCCCTGTTCTTTCTGTGCATTTCATTTGACATCACCCCTCTTCCCAAAGACAAGAATAACTTACTGGTTTCAACAGTATTCAAATCATACCATTTTAATCACAAACATAAAGGGCAGAAACAGACCAGAAACAAATGCAACATATTTTTTTTGGCAAGCAGATAGTTGCAGAACACCAAAAAGTGTGGGTCAAAGAAAGAAGTCTGTCAACTCAATAGCAATGGTCTTGGGTAGTGTCAGCAACATCACACAAGGAAAAGCAAGGTTAATGAGGTACACCAGTCAAGGGTCCAATCCGAATAAAAAAACTGGTACACCATGAGAGATAGAAAATGTCTCTATGACAACAATCTGAGCAAAAGTGGAAAGCTTAGCTCAAGGTCAGAGTCCTTGTGGTTTGTCCAAAGCCTGGTTTTAGCACCAAGGAGAAGGGACTGCATCCTTGAGTTGAGGAACTATGGCTCTCCACTTCAACATTTCAGCCTGTGCCTGCTAGAAGCATCTCTGGGATTGAGGAAGGATAAAGCAGATTCCAAATTGGGAGATTTTTAAAATGCCACATATGCCGTGCTTATCTTAGAAGCTGAAGTACATGAGGGGCCATTAAATCTGCCAATGTCCCCAAACTGCAATTTGTCATACCTGCTTGTTGGCAGATAGTCCTACAGGACAATGAACTTGACCCCATCTGTCTCACATTTGAACACTGGAAACCCAGCTGTCTTCTCTACAAAGCAGAAAGAAAAGAAAAAAAAAAAAATTCTATGTTCCTAGTGTTGTATTCAGGGAGGCAAGCATGGTGTTGTATTCAGGACCAGGCTGCCTGCTTTGGGATGGAGGTGGACATGGTCTTGTATGAATGCCTTTGTCATGGTGGTCTTACATATCTCACTATAAAGTAGGGTTCTGACATGGAACTTTACGAGATGGGGAAAAATACCAAAAGGACAAAAGGCCTTGAGGCTCTTTCAGGAAATAAAAGCTTCATGGGAAAGTAGCAGCAGGCAAAGGTTGGAAGCCTTAGCCTGCTAGGTAGAGCCAGTCTCTCAGATCTGGGAGCCCTGGGTTCGGGGCTCAGCTGTTCCCTTTCTTGTGGGCTGAAATCCATTCACCTTTAAGTCTACAGAATTACAAAGAATCCTTTCCAACTATAAAATCCAAGAAGCTGGGCTATTTACAAATACAAAACAAAACAAAAGGGCCTGGGACTTGAGACATATGCAGATGGTTATAAAGCAGCCCCTCCCCCAAATCCTATCCCTCTGTTGGCAACTGCGTGTGCGGATGTAGCCCATATCTGATGGTTATGCTTACTGCTCAGCAGCTCTTTAAAATGCTAAGCACCCAGAAGGTTTTTTTCTCCTATAACTGGAAATTTTGAGATGGTTGACATAGTCACATTTCCCCCTGCAATGACACCCCTTTGATTGTGATCTGGACCAATTGAGATATTCAAATGAAGGGGAGGTTCCGCATGAAGTAAGATTAAAAGAGATCAGAGTTGGACTTTCCTT